GTGCTTGGTCGAAGCTCCAGTAGGTAGCCACTCCCTTCTCAGGGAACCGTACGTGAGACTTCCGCATCATACGGCTCCGTCCCGAGCTTCGGTCGTCGGCCCTTGTCATTAGACCACTATCTATGCATGTATTTTTAGCCTGGACTCTCTAATCTTTTAATTTTCGGGTGGTGGCGAATTATGCAGCTTTCGCTGCGGGAGATGCCTGCCCGTAGGGCCCGGCCTGCTTCTCGCCCAAAAGAACTGCTCACTAGCTAGCCGGACTAGTGGGGCGCCCTATCTGGAGACATACTGAAAACCATACCTTTCGAACCGAACGCAACACCCATCTTCCAAATCTAAAGATAAATGGGCTCGTTAAGAAGAAAGATGGAGTGCGGCCTATAGAGCACATGTAACGCACAGTCGGGTTGCTCACGCAGCGGATCTCTTATAGTACGAGAGAAAGAGAGATGTGAAAGTAATAGCCTTACCTTATGGTATGGCTGCCCCCCGACTTACGGCCTTTTACGCTACTACTACTGTGATGTGAGCGGTTCTTTCGGGTTTTATCTTTCCTAATTCTCCTGGCCGGAACTTGTACGCAGCACTTATACGGAGGTGCATGCATAAAGGTTTGGAACTCTTTTTTTATCTGAGAATCTGAAGGGCAGGACCCTATTCTCGAACCTTCTGCCGAGCTTAACCCTGCCCGAGGAACGCCTTTTGATTTGATGGGGGCCAAAGAAATGTCTCCACCAGCTGTCAACAGTCTTTCTTTGGAATTCTACTGAACGGGTCGATCCTCTGCTCCCCTTTGTTTTAGCAACTTATCCTAAGGTTTTCTCTCCTTTCAGTCGAGTGACAAAAGTACCTTGCCAAGAGCTGCGACGACAGAGGAACCAACCCGCTTGCTGTGGCGGGGCGGCTTTTTTTTGTTTCACAATAAGACCTGGACGATTATCCCTAACCTCGGTAGCTTACGAGTTTACGTCCATCCCTGGTCGGGTACAGTTTCCTTTTGATTTCTCCCTTGTAGCCGTTACCTGAATTTGCGCAAGTGTGTCCACACCCCCCAAACAGACTTGACGAGGAATCCATTCTCGCGAACAAACACAACCCCTACACACACCTAGGAGCACCCCTTCCTGCATATCCATACAAGACCCGAGTAGGCGGGTCGAGGTCCTACGAGGTACCCACTACTCGGAGTACCTCCCAAAAGGAAAAAGATGTGTTTGTCAGGTTCGGTTCTTCTTAGTTGGATTGGGCGGGTTCGACCAGAAATGCTATGCTTACACACAAGACTACCCCTCTTCCCGAAAGCTTCGCGGGGACTACTTTACGACGACGGACGACCGCCCATAGGGGGTTTACTGCAGAGGAAAAGCTTTCACCCAGCGAATATAAGATACTCCGCTCCGCACAACATAGGGATTGGCATGCTTTCGGGAAAAACATAGAATAGTAGAAAATCCAGCATGCGGAACACGGCGATCATTAGAAATTCACGAATTAAAAATGCTGTAATATACTCTTTCCCATAACTTCTCATACCAGACCAACCCACTGAAATGCAAATAGGGATCAGAAATGTGGTCAATATCACGAAGAATAAAGAGATACCGTCTATATCCAAATAAAAATTGATGTTTTCATAAGGAAGCCATCGAAGGCTTTCCACAAATTGAGATTTGGCCGTAGAATAGTCCAATTGTATCCGAGGAACAGGAGAATACAAAAAAGTAATAAGAGAGGCACACAGACCAATTAATCGTATCAGTCGTATTCTTGAATTTGGAATGAAAAGAGGAGTAATGCTTCCTAGCACAGGACACAGAATAAGACCACTTAGATTAGAATAGCATTCACAGAAATGTTCTAACATATAGTAGAATCGAACATTGAAGAGATTCGTTGACAACAGTCAAAAGATAGGCGCTAAATTCCAATACAATAGGGGTCTATCAGTTCAAGTCAGCTGAACACCGTGATTTATGAGTGGGTAGGTGGGTTAGGCGCGCCTCTCGCCCACTAAGAAGTAATGAGGCTAGTCTCCCCCTGGAAGTAGTGGTGCCCCCTTCCCGTGTATGCGCCTTTATTTATATTCTTTCTATTTTTGCATTCTTTATCCAATGGATAATCTTTCTAAATCAATCTCTCGGGCAAAACGCAATTCGTCGATTTCAATCCCAAGGTGCACCTTGTCTTTTTTCAGGTAGCTTTGTTACGCCTATTCAGCTATTGGTGCATTGGTCATAGCCGAAATTCGTTGAAGAAAATAAAATGAAGTTTTGTCTTTCTTTCAATCCAAATAAGAGAACAAAGAAACCATTCAAAAAGAAATCCAGGATGACAGCTTTCAAAGAGTAAGAGACAGGGAGGGGGAGGCTTTCGAAACCAAACGAGACTAGAAGGAACATGGGAATTAGCACCATTCCTATGAGTGTTTTTGTCTTGAAGAGCCAACAAAGGGAGGCACTATTGCCCTCATCAATGAATTAATGAGTTTCTTCGCCCTCCGAAGGACTCGTTTTCAGCTCCTGGAGGAACCTAGCTTCTTCAGCGAAGCTGGAGGAGAACCCCTTATATATTAGATTCAAAAAAAAGTCAAAAAATCAAATGATTACACAGCCCACTTCGCTCCGCTGCTCTGCTCGCTCCGACGATTCTACATACCGGCCGAAAGAGACTGAGCCCGGGCGAAGTCAATCACATTGAGTTGTAGATTGACATAGTTAACCTTCGTGCACTTATATATAATATATAGTCAGAGTTGAAGCTGAGCGTTCACCTTAGCGGCACCTTTGACCTCAGATGCATGTGTTAAGCATATAACTAGCGAGCGAACCATACTTCGGATATCGCTCGGAGCAAGGCCAGTCGCTGGATTAAGACTAACAGGACCATTCCTTATGGAAGACCCAGCAAGAGACGTCACTACCTACCTAGGCCTCAGGATGAACTCCGGTGTTGAGGCCTGAAGACTGGAAATTCAACCCTAATAACAAAGTTCCTCTCCAACCAGTCGAGTTACTACGTTCCTTGCTTCACTTCAGTAAATTCATTAACACCGTATTTGATTCCATCTTGTTTTCTGTGCTAGTTACTATCTATAGTAGTGGACTAACTGGGCTGGGCACAACTCATTTAAAAAGGAATGTCAAAGCATTGCGGATTCTTCCTTCGACGTCTTATTGCCCTTGATATTAAAAGAGGTGCAAGCCTTATTTACCTATATACCTTTTATATCTTCCGCTTTCACGGATATTCGCCAGCTTTTTGCCTCTGGTGGCCCTTGACTGACCCGTCTCGTATCGTTTTGATAGTAAGTACATGGGTTCTACAATCTTTTGTTAACCTTTAGCTGCGGGCTCCACGGAGAAAGTTGTCGGATAGCAGCGATTCCTATTGCTAAACTATGGTCTTTTTTTTCTTTTCCCTTTACCCGGTCCTATCTCGAGCAGGATCACTCTGCTCTTTGGTGCTCGGGATTCCCATTCAAGAACCAGTAACTCACCGTCTGATTCACGTGGATCAGAGCCATCGAGTCGATAATAATTGTTCTTCGGTGCAGCTCTGACCCTACAGCAAGATCACGCTGCCGTTAACTAGATAGTTCAGGGGACGAGTCTCTTAACTCGATCTTATTATTTGATTATTAAGCCCGCTTTTGCATTGCCGAACTCTTCTTGTATTTGCCATCAGGTGAAGGAAGGAGGAACCCTTTTGCCATAGACCAATTACCTGAGATTGGCTAGCATGAGGCGTGCCTCGGCGTTCCTCGGAGGTTAACCCTAGTTGATTCTGCACTCCCTAAAGAGAACAATCCATTCCTTTAGCATAGCTAACGAATAAGGAAAACTGAACTACGGCGCTCACCGAATGTATCACTCATCCCGCTCCTAAGGTAAGGAGGTCCTCTGTGTGTTATAATCTTTATTGGAATTCATTGATAGTTACTTTGCCAGGTTCTAGGGGGGGGGCTACTCTTTTTTTTTTTCTCGATCGAGCCGCTCTCCCTCATTCCACTCGTCCAGCCCTCTTCACGAACTTGTACAATCGATGCCACAAAAATAGCCAACTCTATTATCAAAGAAATCAGGAAACGGGCGATGATTTGGCACCAGATATCCGGAGGTGTGGAAAGAGCAGCTGTGAGAAGCGGAAAAACCATAAAAAACGACGATTGTTCGTGAAGGTTTCCAAAGAAAGACCCCTTGGTTCTGGCAAACGGATCACAATTACAGGTACCTGGGAGCATACCGATGGAATGAACGAAATACGAACAGTTAACATAATATGGTCATAAATCTTAGGTTGTAACTTGATCATGAGCGAATTTGTTGATGTTGCACCCACGAAGTATGGAAAGTGCCAAACATTGGGAACGACCCGGGGAGGAGTTAGGAACAGGAACAAGAAGAAGCGAGAACCACTTAAATGGAGGAATCGATTGTATTTCGTCCTTTGTTCTCCATAGCAACTGGGGATCAAAAAGCACCAAATTTGATAACTTATTAAAGGAAAGACAAAATAAGAGCATGCTATTGAAGACATTGCAACAAATGTCGAAAAGGCCTCCGCTAATTGTGTACAAACAAAAAACGAGTCAAAAGGCAGGGTAAGAAAGCGTGATGCTAATGGAGATATTAACTCTTCCGGGAACCAGTAACGCGTAAACCATGTCAAACCAAGACCGATCAATATCCGAACGGAACGGATTCGAACTTCTCCTAAAATCGTTTCCGATGCGAAATTCAATTAATAGGATATATATAAGTAATTCAAAGCTAAAAGTGAAGGATTTTATAGGGTTCATGTACCCATGTTCCTATACGTATATCACTAATGGTATGCAATTTCCTATTTGATAATTTCTCTCAAGTATTTCGTATCTATAAGCAGGGGGCGTGGCCAAGAAGCCTACACTCCAGCGGACTCACCCTTTGGGTCTCGCTTCCAGCACAGGAGGCCAAGCATTCTGCCAGACGTCCCGCCTTGGGAGCCCCGTTAGCCTGCTTGACCAATGGGAGAAGCCAACTCCGTTCCTCCAGCTTCGCTGAAGAAGCTAGGTTCCTCTGAAGCGAAGCTTAGCGAGCTGGCCGATCACTACATAAGCCGCTGGCAGAGAAAGCTCGAGGAGAAAGATTCATTCGTTGCTAAGCCAAGGTCCCAGGTCTCCGAGTCAGCCCGCGCTTTTTCGAAGAATCCTGCACCCATGGGCATACGGCCTTGTAGGCCTTCCCTTTCCGCCGGAGCTTCATGGGTGTTGCCCCGTTCCCCAATCAGATATGATATTTGGATGTGAGCTATACTCCGCGAGGACCCAAACGGGCGTATGGCCTTGCCATTGGACCTCTCTTCCCATGTGACTAGAAATGTTCAGTGACAACCTCTCAATTGTCATTGCCTGGCCTCTCTAGCTACCACAGTAGCACCTAGTGTGGTCAGCACCAATCGTGTTCGGGCAACGAAGCTTACACTCATTCACATTGGTTCATCCTGCTATGCTCCGGGCCTTTTGCTCTCCGTAAAAAAAAGGTGGCCGGCCTTTCGTCAAGGCCCAGGAATCCGCTGGACATCTCAGCGGCGGGATTTGATACCCGCATCTGATCGAAGTTTCATTTTAGTGCCCCAAGATAAAGGAGAGCTCTTTCTAGGTGGGTCGCTTCGCGCAAGACATTGCTTAGGACCAACGGGTCACACGACAGGTGCACGATCGACTTTGTACGCTCCATCCTTCGCCCTCAAACCCCGGAGAGCTTTGAGTTGCTTCGCCCTTTTGCCTATCGGCTTGGCAGGCAAGCTACCTTGATCCGTCTTCGGCTTCGATTTGTTATGCCCAGCAGCTCCAACAAGCCCTAAAGTATCTTGCCGCCTAAAACTCTGCCAAGAAAGCCCTACTTTACCTTTGATCCTATGTGCCCAGAGAATGCTATGCGTTCTCCACTTTCGGACCTCGCAAAGAGAGAACGTGCTTTTTCCTCTCACTTTCTGTCTCATTCGCGGAGCGAAGAAAGCGGTAGGAACCCCAGCTACCGTTATCCTTGGGAAACCAAAAGAGCTAGCAAAGGCAAGGGATGCAGTCTCTCTCTTGGCCTTTGGAGAGGAGAAGGCAGAGAAGAAGACGTCCTTCACTAAAGTTTTTGTGCTTATTACACCCTTACTAGCAAAGGCGCTCTTAGACAAAGACAAAGGAGGCATTCCCGTAGGAAGGCCGACCACTACATAAGCGGCCATCAGTCCAGGAGAGAAGCAAGCTACCTTTCTTTGATCCACCTTTCCGGGCAGGAAAGAGAACGAAAAGAGGCCGCTGATGGTGTTCGTGGTAGGTTCGAGAATCTTGCGCGGCGGAGCTAACTCCTCGATCGTGTTCATTTTTTTCTGGCAGCCCCCCTTGATCCATCGTACTGGAGCGATCTGAGAAGAACTATTAGGGTCATATTCTATACTCTCTACAATGCCCATAGAAATCGTGCTTCGTTTCAGATCAATTCTTCGCAGCAATCGCTTCGAGCCACCCCCTTGTTGAAAAACCGTAATACGCCTTGAGGAATTCCTACCAGCAGACTTTCCTGTATTCAAAGTGAATTGTCTAAGTGCTCGTGCTCTCCCTGGTCTCATTGTTTATCTCGTATTTTATTCCGTCTGACTCCTCCTACTCCTCCTTTCCGAAAAGATCATCCTTGGTCCTTTTGACATAAGATTCTCGGCCGCTCAAGAGACTCTCTCTTTATATATATTTATACGCAATCTTGACTCCTACTACGAGTGACTACGCCGATCTTTATATGTTTTGGCCACATCCGTTTCTGCTCCGAAGAGGAAGGTTTGGATCTTTTAATCTTATGTCGTGAGGGATATGACCTATGTTAGGTCCATAAGATACCACAACTTTTGGTTTTATATGATTAACCTCCGAATAATGAGTAGGTAGTTCGATCCTTTTGATTCTTCTCTTCATAGTCAACTTATGGGGGGATGCGAAGCAATAGGTCGAATTACTATATAAAGATAAAGAAGAGTTGTAAACTATAGGACTGATTGTTCGAGTAGGAAGATTTCGGTTTTCCTCCTTCCTTCTCTTCAATAAGAATAGGGATTTTAACAAATTCCTCTTCATTCTCTTGTGCTCAGCGAAGGAACTTCCTAAGCATACTTTTTCGGATCCAAACTTCTTTGTTCTTCTAA